TTGGTATATCATTTGGGAGGGTAGTTTGTCTGTCTAGCCACCCAATGCGGTGGTCTAGAATCAGGTATCTCAATGAGTACTGCAGGGTTCCATGACTTGGTATGGTCTCAATGGGCTCTCATGGATGGTTATTAATGATTTATGTGACTCTCTGACCTTTTCCTCTAGGGTGCTATAAGCCAGACATTTCCCTTAGACCAACCCTTCAATCCGGGACGATGTACTTAGAAAAAAATAAATTTTGGATTTCTAGGATTTCCCCTTGTATATTAATGAGGATGAATCTGAATACTTTTGGTGACCCCTTGAATTTTTGGAATTATCACATTGGTGCTTCTCAGAGGATGTACCCTTGCCAGTTTGGAAGCATTATTGTTCTGCCATTCCTAGGTGAAAATGATAACTTTACATGCCAGATGTCCAGCTTTTTGACAGGACACTGATAGCTCACTACTTTGCAGAACCCTGGGTTGTGTTCAATGACAATGGTTTTTGAATTTTTTTATTTAAAAAAAATCCATATATGCAAATGTAGCAGTCTTAAAGTTCGGGAAAGATTGGAATCATTTGCCAAAACACAAGATTTAAGGTATGTTAAGGTAAACACCTAAAACACAAGGACAAATCATGGTTACCATTTAGTTTAATAAAAGACTACATTAATCGCTCGTCTCCAGTGCTCCATAGCTAACTCCAGTCTTCACCATGAAAGTTGGAGATGCTACATGCCCATCCACCACCCTGACCTTAACGCTGGGGTATGCTTGATACACATTACGAAGTGCTGTGCAACCATGCCTTCAGGCAAAAGTATTTATAGCTGTTCCAAATGGGCACAGTCAAAGCTTGCTGTCAGAGCCAGGAGCAAATGTAATTATTGTTTAAAGGGGCATAATATTTCATTTTCAGACAGCCTCTCCTCGAAGACATTCATGGTGTTGCACTTGCTTGTGTATATAAGAAAGTGACTGAAGTAGTTGTTTGAAGAATTATAAGACAGCTCAGGAGGGCTCTCTTTTTTCAATCTTTTCTCCCACCTCCACACTTTCTGGCCGCTAGTCACTGTGTGAAGTGCATGTGAATGTCAGATTGTCAGTTTTGGAAAGTTACACAAATTCTTCCTGTTCTGTGGTTCTTTAAAGTCTACGGTTTGACAGTATTAAAAGGACTTTGTTTACAGTGTACTGACCCTAGTAGATTACCCTACTTGCTCCATTGGCAATTTATTTTGACATTGAACATCAGTAGTGCTCTGCACAATCATCCAAATGGAACTTGATTCCTAGAGACAGTGGCCTGTGATATCCCATGAGCTAATGGGCAGAACTTTGCTGAGCACATTAATGGTCCAAAGGAGAGAAATCCTTTAGATTTCAATGACCCTAGGATCTTTTACTGCCCCCAGGAGAAACATTTTTTCTTTACTGTGCATTCTGTCCAACACTATCAAAAGTGTTACACAGCATGTTGACATGCTAACTGTTGGTCTTCATAATTATTACTCTGGACCATTCTCAAAACTATTTTATTATTAGATTTTATTTTTTTTTTTTTACAACTTCTGTCTTATACCTCCAGTATCGCCATCATGCTGATGCAGCCAGAGTGTATGCACTACCAAGGTTACAGGCCGAACCCTGACACTGATCACTGGCCCATCTACTTGTCCCTCCCCCTACACGCTGCTCCCAAAATAGATGGATTTGTGCAATGAGGAGTTGACAACTACTCTATTTAAAACCACACACTGTCAGAGTCAGTGTAATGTGAGCTTCCCTGGCTCTGTCTGTGTGGGACCAGCACAGTTTCTGCCCCCTCTGTCAATTCTCACCTACACATGATTGAAGAAAGAGGTCAACGACAGGAACCTCTGAAACACCTCCTAAACCAAACTTGACTAGAGTCAATCAGTACATGTACTCTACTTGATTTTGCATACTGCCGTGATGCCAGTGACAGTGCTCCCACTCCAATTACATTTTGTAATACATGCTAAAGAAAACATAAAATGCTACTTAAAACACAATGGTGCCACACCTGTAATTTTTATTTTTGACTCAGTTTTTCATGGGTTTAATTTTATATTAGATTTTCTTGGTCAGTTGGGTCTAGTTTTGGTTAAGGTCTCACTAATATTATTGTAAAAAGCAATACTGGTTGAATGATCCATACTCTTTGTACAAATTGTCAATCACATCATTAGTACTAGAACTTGCTGTAATTTTCATTTCCCGTCAACCAGAACACAACCACTGGGAGAAAGTGAAGGCTTGTGATTTGCTCTAGATCTGTTCTAGATTCTCATGCAGTGCCTAAGTCAAATAAAATAGGTGCAGCAGATGATTTCCCAGTTCAGTGCATTTATCATAGAAGAGACTTAGCCTTGAATTAACCTCTTCGATTTTACATCAACATCAGTTACTATTTCGAGTTTTAGATAGCACATATTCTTTTATACAACCACATAGGTTTGGAAAGAAGTTTTGTAATGAAGTTTCTAATGGTGATAGACATGGTGATAGTGGCAGTCAGGAACAGCTGAGTTGGAAAGAGCAAAGGACAGAATGAGAGAGGAGATCAGATCGAGATGAAGACTGCAAAGTGGCTGAAAGTGGAGATGAGCTCAGACATGCCAAAGACATTTCTTCTCTCTTAGTTTGGGCCACTGACTCTGCCTGCATTGACCCACTTGACTCATCTAGTTAACTAACGCTACTGGTTAATTCTTTCTCCCCATAATGTCTCAAAGAAAACATCAATCAATTATGTGTTTGGAATAATGGCCGATGCATATGTGACACTTTGCCTGTCTTTTTTCGCTTGGGGAAGATGTTGACGCCTGACAGGACCTTTTTTAACTCCAACATGTCTGGGGAAAAAGAAAAAGAATGGGTGTTATTTAAGGTGTTGGCCAGGGTGTTGTGAGGTGAAGAGATGACAGCAAATGCACTGCATAGGCCCATTCATCAACCAGATCTGACATTCCACAGCAGGATCCACTTGCCTTCCTGAATCTGATCCAGTGCCACATCCAACCCAAGCTCTATCCATGTAGGGACTTTCTAAAGGGGGAAATCACTTTCCATGATAAAGTTACCTAAGGGTGTGTTTCCTAAGTGTGGTGTGTGTGTGTGTGTGTGTGTGTGTGTGTGTGTGTGGAGGCGGGTGGGGGGGTGGGGGGTATAATTATAATTTACAGCATATGTAGTGCTGGCTGAAAATGAACAAATGATTCTTTTCTACTTTTGCACGTTGCCTTCATACTGGATCTGCATTGCTGCATACTGCTCCAGGACATAGCCACATGCTCTAAAGTCTGACACCGACACCCCTCTCAGCTTTTCTCACCTACTCGGTTTTTATATGTTACCAAACTGCCAAACATATAAATGGAAGCATATGCAACCTTAAATAGTGTTACAAACTGACTCATTGCTGTGTGACAAAGCTTGTATTAAGGTTTGTGGATGGTAACTGATGTTTTCCCCTTGGGGCTTTCCATTGCTCACTGCTGAGACATACATATGCATTTCCACTGTGTCTTCATGGCAAAGAATAACCACGCCGAGCCATCACAATGTGTCTAGTTAGGTCAATTTTATTTTAATAAAAGCTTTACAATCTGTATAGTTTGCGACACACTCTCTCCTCAGACCCTCAACTCAAATAAGGAAAAACCTTTTCGTTTAACAGGGAAAAATTGAAGGAAGCTAAAGAAGAGCAACAGAGGAGGGATCCTTCATCCAGAAAGGACAGACAGGAAATATATCACCTAAGAGAATCAATGTTTCTGGAAGTTACGCAACAAACCTATATCTATATATACACACTATGGCATGCCGTTTAGGAAATAATATATATATGAAGTTTGTCCATCTGAACATATGGAATGACAGTCTGAATAGAAATTCTGAATATATGGAATGAAAGTCTGAATATATGGAATGACAGTCTGAATATATGGAATGAAAGTCTAAATATATGGAATGAAAGTCCGAATATATGGAATGACAGTCTGAATATATGGAATGACAGTCTGAATATATGGAATGACAGTCTGAATATATGGAATTACAGTTTGAATATATGGAATGACAGTCTGAATATATGGAATTACAGTTTGAATATATGGAATGAAAGTCTGAATATATGGAATGACAGTCTGAATATATGGAATGAAAGTCTAAATATATGGAATGAAAGTCCGAATATATGGAATGACAGTCTGAATATATGGAATGACAGTCTGAATATATGGAATGACAGTCTGAATATATGGAATGACAGTCTGAATATATGGAATGACAGTCTGAATATATGGAATGACAGTCTGAATATATGGAATGAAAGTCTGAATATATGGAATGAAAGTCTGAATAGAAATTCTGAATATATGGAATGACAGTCTGAATATATGGAATGAAAGTCCGAATATATGGAATGACAGTCTGAATATATGGAATGACAGTCTGAATATATGGAATGACAGTTTGACTATATGGAATGAAAGTCTGAATATATGGAATGACAGTCTGAATATATGGAATGACAGTCTGAATATATGGAATTACAGTCTGAATATATGGAATGACAGTCTGAATATATGGAATGACAGTCTGAATATATGGAATTACAGTTTGAATATATGGAATGACAGTTTGAATATATGGAATGACAGTCTGAATATATGGAATGACAGTCTGAATATATGGAATGACAGTCTGAATATATGGAATGACAGTCTGAATATATGGAATGAAAGTCTGAATATATGGAATGAAAGTCTGAATATATGGAATGACAGTCTGAATATATGGAATGACAGTCTGAATATATGGAATTACAGTTTGAATATATGTATCCAACGAGGGTTAAAATGAAGGGCAACTGGACTTGGTTGAAGCTACTGGAAGACGTTTCGTCCCTCATCCAAAGGACTTCTTCAGTTCTGACTGACTGGCAGGGAAACTCAGCTATTTAACCTCAGTGGGGTCGTTATCCCGGGTCATCGATACCGCTGGTTCGTTAGTGTTCCTTGTTGCTGTGACGACAGTCGTTACAGTCGTTGAGACTACCTGTGGCCAAGACTGAACGACCATCGTTGGTATCTTCACCTGAGGCCAATAATTTTGAATTTTGAATATATGGAATTACAGTCTGAATATATGGAATGACAGTCTGAATATATGGAATTACAGTTTGAATATATGGAATGACAGTTTGACTATATGGAATGAAAGTCTGAATATATGGAATGACAGTCTGAATATATGGAATGACAGTTTGACTATATGGAATGACAGTCTGAATATATGGAATGACAGTCTGAATATATGGAATGACAGTCTGAATATATGGAATGACAGTCTGAATATATGGAATTACAGTCTGAATATATGGAATGACAGTCTGAATATATGGAATTACAGTTTGAATATATGGAATGACAGTTTGACTATATGGAATGAAAGTCTGAATATATGGAATGACAGTCTGAATATATGGAATTACAGTTTGAATATATGGAATGACAGTTTGACTATATGGAATGAAAGTCTGAATTGAATGGATCAGACTGTCATTCCATATATTCAGACGGACAAACTTCATATATATATTATTTCCTAAACAGCATGCCATTATATATGTGTATATATATATATATTTTTATTATTATTATTATTATTATTCCTCTTCTTATTCTACCTCTGTTATTCTTTGACACTGTATATGATGCAATCTAGGCCTGGCTATATGTTACTTGGTGTCTTGTAAGCCCATGTGGGCTGGGCATAATTATATGCATTAAGTAATAATAAACCTTTATTCATCCATTTATATGTGTGTGCAAACATAATAAAAATACAGTGTGTACAATTGTGATAACAAAGTTATACATACATTTTAACATACAGTATATAAAGAATATGAGTCTGGGAGCACGTTGAGCATGTGTCAACCCAACAGACCTGAGCCACGCAATCTCTCCACCAGTAGGAAAGCCTAGGAGTCTCCAAACACATACGAGTTGTGTTGTTGCAGTGTCTGCATGCCTGTTCCTTTGCCATTGGCACCTATGTACTGCTGCACTGTTGGCTTTAGTTGCAATTTCACTCAAACACTGTAGTTAAGGCTGTGGACAAATCTACAGCAAGAACATGCAAAACAGGTAAACCCGCTACTTCCCCTGAACTGATATGATATCTGATATCATTCTCATTGGCCTCAGCTGTACTTTGTGTTTGGTGCTAATTTGCAAATGTTAGCATGCTAAATTAAGTTGGTGAACATGGTTTGTCATTGTGGTCATGGTAGCATGCAGATGCTAGCATTTAGCTTAAAGCACTGCTGTACCTAACAGTGTCTACACATGAGGCGTTTCAGCAGCATATTTTAGTTGTCCATCTCACGCACATTTGCCAGAACAGATCAGTTTCTGTTTTAAACAAGCCAGTTGGGATTGGTTTCTTTAAACCATGTCGCATACAGTAGGCTATATTAGAGACCTACATCTTTAAAGTACATCTTTTTGTAAGTGTACATGAGAAATTACAAATGACATTGTACACTAAAGCAGGTGGTTCTAGGCACTACTGTAGAGATGAAAGTATATTCTTGTTGCAAAATACAATGATCTCCTTATTGTTTCAGTGTAGACAAAATCCATTTACAGTTGCAGTTTGAATACATTCTCTAGAGAGTCTTTATATTGAAACATACAGTATTTGTATTTATTGTGTTACAAAGACAGACAAGGAAAAACAAAAAAACAAAATACTAATCATGACCCCCCAACAAGAAAATATCACATCAGGGTATGCAATGACCAACAGCCAATTGTCCAACAAGGAGTTGTGTTCAGTCTTTGACGGGTCCATTGTCACACATGCAGAGGCTATCACTGCTCTCTTTTTTTTTTGCCGTAGCTACCATCGTAGCTGGAATTGCTGAGTTGAGTTACTGCTAAACTGAACATTGTCTGCTGCTGCTTCCAGTGGTGGACAGTAACTATTTTACTCAAGCACTGTACTGTACTGTAAATAAGAGGTATTTGTATTGATTTTCTTTTCATGCTACTTTCTATCTCTACTCCGCTACATCTCAAAAATATATTAGCCCAAAGTCCAGCCCAAAGGGAGTTCCCATCTCCCACAGAAAGCTCTGAACTGTCTGAAAACAGCTCATTGAAGTCCAGCCGCTTCCCTTTGAAAGCTAAATGCGCCAATTGGCTAGTCCGACACACCCTCAAAAACAGTGGTGAAAAAACAGTGAGCTGCAGCACACACCTCCTCTCTCTTCCAAACACTAGCTACCCTCCAGCAGTCAGTGGACATAAAGTTGTTACTGTGATGTAGAGACAGAGCTCAGTTAAAACTTTTTGGATGAAAGATACATTTGTTAAAGATTAATAACTCTGAAACTCTTGCTCCAGTCCATGTTGCCAAGCAACATGGACTGGAGTCAGCAACAGCTGAACCGAAGCTGTTTACCAGCTTCTCATTGGCCCGCCCTTCTCTGCTTCTGATTGGCTAGTAGTAGTTGTTGCTAGAACCCCCGACCCCAAAACAATGAGCTAAAAGAGGCTACATTCGATCCATTGTTAATATAAAAATATTGATTTGTAATGAGGTTAATGAGGCAGGTTGCTCTCTCCTGAAAAGGTTATGATCACGTAACAGTATTCTATTTAACAAAATAATAATCACCTTACTTTATCAACTTAGCAGACATAATAACTAGGCAGTTGCTGGTCACATATGGGGCTTAAGGCTCTATTTAACATTCAATGCCCTACTTGTGTAAGATTTGAACATTTCAGACTTTGGCAACTCGTAGTGGTAGGATCCAAACAGGCACTGTAGCAGACAGCAAAGCATGTCGGCACTTTAAAAAAAGTTAAATCTTTTTTACCTCAGTATACTATTTGTTCTAATTAAAATGCACGTCAAACAACATATCTGAAATCAACAAAGTAAAACAAAGGAAACTAGACCTGCAAGCAGGTATAAATGAGATCCAAGCCCCCTGGCGCAAGCCGCACCTGGCGGCCCCACTGAGGCGGTGCAAGTCGGACCCGTAGTCTCATTGGTGTGATGAAAGTTACAGGTGGAAAGCAGCAGAGAGATTGGATAACATGTAGATCATTTGCTTGGGAGAATTCTTTTAGCATATCTTTTATGATTTGGCAACAAAAGTGGATGTGGAGCAATTTCAATAGAGTTCCCAGCACGTTTGGTACTGGGAGCCCCCAGCCACCTTGGGCTTGGACCCCTAATAATAATAAGAATAGCATAGAAGGTGCTCTTTGACACAATGGCCCTGAGTAAACTGTGTGTGTGTGTGTGTGTGTGTGTGTGTTCCTGGAGTTCAAGGAGTCAGCTTGGATTCAGATCTACAACAGAAGAAATAAATAATTATTAAACCAAAATAGGATCTTTCTACAAGACAAAAGTCTCAAAAATCTCTCTATAGCAACAAAGAACAGAAAAACAATACAAGGCTGGTCCTGATGCTACGGACACTGCACCCAGTGATCAATCTGACAATTGAATTATGCATCAATTTACAATATAATGCATATGTCATGGACCCTAACCCTGGAAACAAAAAACGAGTTATAGTTAGATGTTCGGTGAATTTACCTCTGAGGAGCGGAGGGGGCGTGGCCGGCCTTTATCAGATCACTCTGAGACAGAGCATTTGTCATCCAGGAGAGGGCACTGCAGCAGTACTCCAGCTTGGAGAGAGATACACAGACAGAGATGGATGAGTGCTGAGCAGGCAGAGCCAACAGCTGCAAAGAAACCAGACACACGATGCACACACAATCTGCACACAGATACCAGACTCCACAGACACACATCAATCAACAAACACATGCAGGGATTAAACACAATGAAATTTAGCAACACAGACTGCTTTTTGTCAAAATAGGATTTACAGGATGGACAACATGTCAAATATTCAGTTATGTCCCTGGGCTGAAGAAGCACCAAAAATGCTTCTTACTGGGATAAACCACAGACTATGAATAAAGAATTAAAAAACATCACATTTTCTAGCTGTGAAAAGAGCCTGGATCATGGTTCTAGGGTGCACAGTGGTGATGCACAGTTATGCACTGCTACAGATTAGGCTCATCTTGCATGTGCAAGATCTAGTGAGAGTCATTGCTGACCTCTTTCTCCAGCAGCTGCAGCCTTCGGTCGTGGTCCCGGACCTCTGCCATCTGCTTAAGCACGCTGTCTACCCTGCAGGAACGAACAAACACGCACATTAGTTCAGGTGAGTTCAACAAGTAATAAAAAGACTTCAGAAAAGTCTTTAAGTACAAGAGCAACAAGTGGAAAGGTTTAACTGAAACATACCGGCAGGATTAAGTGTAACCCAAATGAAAGGTGTGATTATATTTTTGGGAAGTGACATTTAGTATGAACTCATAATATATTTGACAAGGATACCTTAAAAGAAAATCATCAAAAAGAATTGTGGCCCAAAAATTGCATGTAGTGAGTGGACGTTTTACAGTGGATAAAACTCCCTATGGATGTCAGAACTCCGATCTCTTAGGCTGAGCGAAGCCACCCTTCAGAGGAAATTTCTGCTGCTTGTATCCACGATCTCATTCTTTCAGTCACTACCCAAAGCTCATGACCATAGGTGAGGTTTAGAGCATAAATCAACTGGTAAATTTAAAGCTTGGCTTTCCTGCTCTGCTCCCTCTTCACCACAGAGGTCCAGTACAATGTCTGCGGACACGTACCCGTCCGCCTGTCCATCTCAGGCTCCATTTTGCCATCACGTGTGAACACAATCCTGAGATACTTAAACTCCTTCGCTTGGGGCAGCAACTCACTCCCAACCCAGAGGGAGCAATTCGCTGTTTTCCAGCAGAGAACCGTGGCCTCAGACCTGGAAGTGCTGACCCTCAGCTTGCTGTAGCAGTTTGCAGCAGAGTGTAAAGCTGACCACTTCAGTACGCCAATATCAATATATGTAATAATTGGCATGGCTCTATGTTCCACATTTATTTTTGTCAGTCAAATTTAATTCAGTTCTAACATTTAGGACTGAAAATAGACATATCTTTTAACATTTTATAAAATCACAATAGGTAACTTACTTGACAGATGTACGTTTAAGCCGTGCTGAGTCACTCTCCCTCTCCCGCTTCTTCTGAGCTGAGAGGAGGTTTTCTTTGTGGATAGCCTCCCATGTGATAAGGCCGCTGGACTTCCTGTCCTGTAACTCCAGAACTGAGGACGGAGAAGATAGAAGTAGGATCCACCAGTTAGAGACTGGTGCCCAGAAGACGCTTATCTGTGGAAGTACCACAGGTAAGAATCCTGGACAGTTGCCCAAAGCCCCTAAACACTACCCGAATCAACGGGTAAATTGAGAGATTTGCCTTCAGTCTGTGCTTCCTGTTAACTACAGCGGATCACAGCGACATTCACATGACTGTGAAGGGCACATTGATGACCAGCCTGGTGACCTTAGCATCCACCTTACCCTCATACATTAACAAGACCTGAACTTTGACTATTAAATGACTAGGCCTCAAAAGTGGAGCTACTGACACTCAATCCAACCGCTTTGCAATCAAACCACCCCAGCGTGCATTACATGTCACAGCCTTATAAATACCACTTCCAGACAGCAGATGTGTCAACGGACATTCAGCCTTTCTCACAGTTATGGTGTGTTCAGACTACTGGTGACAAAACAACAGGCTACGTGTCATTTTCAATGGAAGCTGGGTTTTTAATACTATTTAAAGCCCCACATCGACTGAAAACCAACTTAACTTGCTACCAAGAATGCCAAGGCAGCTCTCTCTTGATGACTTTGGACCAACTGTTCTGGTATCACAAGACACAACTGTAGGTCCCATCACATCTAGAATGAATGGGCATTCTCCATGACTTAACCAGTACCAGTGCAAGAGCGAGTTAAATATCTGATAACCAGTGGCCATAGTGCTTCTTTTTATCACTTAGCCCATACTTTTCTATTTTTTTTTTTTTTTACCTCTCCCTCCTTCCCCTGCTAAATGCTCGTCTTCATGCTCTACTTGCAACTTCTCACCAAAGTGTTTGCTCTTGACAGAAGGGATGTGGCGGATGTATCTCTTGATGATAAGGTGGAGGTGTGAGATGATAATGAAGGGTGGTGCCAGGCAGGGCCTTGAGTGGTACTCCACAATCAGGTTGTAACGCTGAAACTTCCAGTAGGTGTCACTGCGCTCCTGTACTTTGGAGAAGGTGTAGCTGCAGACAGTAAATTCACATCATGAATACAGAGGGTTTCCATGTTGCACAACATACACAACAATAACTCATATTTGAAATCTGTTCAATCAGTAGGACGGCATTGAAATTCAAACAAAGCAAATGCCTGTTTACCTGAAGATAGCAATGAGCAGGTTGACCAATACTATGTTGGTGAAGAGCAGGTAGATGACAAGGAGGATGACAACCAGCCAGTTGGCGAAGGTGTTCAGACAGGGCTCCTCACCTGCTTCAATTAGTGCGGCATCATTTGTACAGTTTCCTTGCTCCAATTTATCAGCTAAATGGAAGATACATGAAGAGGCCCAAAACAACATGTGAGGATATTTGCTCCACATTTGCAAGAAGCTTAAATATTACATTGACATTGGTTTACATAGGCTGTGGCGCTCATGTGTCCTCCCAAGCATCTTACCTACTGATTCTAAACTGTACACACAATGGCAACTCCACAGCTAACAAAATGAAGTCCACTAACGCCAAACACTAAAAAAGGATAGTCTTCCAGCACAGCACAAGTACCCTTCAGCATCCGTATGAAACGCCAAAGTTTGCTACCTCGCAGCAATGCAAAGGTCGACATCCATAAAGTCACTGACTTAGGTTTAGGCAAAAACAATTGTGATGGTTATGGTAAAGGTAGGGGACTTCAGGGGGCTGACAACACCTTTAACAACACTTTAGCACTTCCGGTCTGTACGAGATGCCCCAGGGCGTCTCATACAGACGCATCCGAGGCGTCTCACACAGACTACGCTTTGTCACTTTTTCTGAAAGCATTGGCATTGGACACCCCGAAATGAGAACGACTTCGGGTGAAAACACGAGTCAGAATTGGAAACGCTTTTGTGTATTTCACATGCTTTGCAGTAATGTTAGTTTACCTGTCCAATGGGTGAAGGCCAACTCTAAAGAGAGAGAGGCAACACTGGAGGTTTTGTCGGTTCCAAAACAAAGCAGACTCTCCCTGACTCAAGCCTTTCTGAGGTTGACTGTTTTTCACCTGAAATTGTTTGACCTGACAGGCTACAGCACATAAAACTTCGTTGTTGTTTTTTATCCTTACTGGAGTTTGGGTAGGAGTCTGTGTTGGTGTGTTTTGCTGAGTTATTTTGTGGTGTTAGTGGACTGCATGTTGTTAGCTGCAGTGTTGTCGCTGAAGATGGAGATTGGCTCGTGAGTGCACATGCAGCTACATCCCGACCCGATACCTTCACATAAGAAGCAAAATAGTGGCTGTTTCAAGCAACAGCAACAGAGAAAACAGGCGTGTGCTTCACTTTTAAGTGAGCCCATTGACAAAAAGGAAGTAAAAAAGTGATTTATTAATCTATAGTTTCATTGAAAATTACATAATTAATTTAAATGTTTAGTGATTAGGTTTTAGTGGTGAGGGTTGCGAATTGCAACCAACGGTTCAGTCACCACTTACCCCTCCCTTTCCAAGCGTGTGGGAGAAATATATAATATAATAATCTGGCATCTGAGTGAGTAATTAAAAACTATCCACTTTGGATGCATGCATGAAAATGTACGTTGTATACTGGTTACATTTATATATCCATTATACTGTATATGAATGGAGGCACATTTTTGACAATGGTTTTGGCTATTTTATGCACCATTTTATCTTCTGCATTAAAAGATATTCATGTTTTAAATTGCTAAAGCAACTGTACAAACTCATCTTAAGAAGGGTTCTGCAATTTATGGTCATTCAAATCTTTGAACAAAAATGTGCATTATTAATTTTACAAAATTGAGATCAATGAAATTAAAGCTTCAGAATATTTATACAAGTGTAGTTTCAGTGGTTCGAATTTTTAATTGACTTTAAATAATATTGTATGGAGAACACAAAGGGAACCAAAGGTCCTTGTGCTCGACAGAGGTCGAGACTCACCATCCATTTCATGTATGGGTATTTGTCCAAAAATGTGCATGTATGGTCTGTAGAACACTCTGCGGAATATCCAGGTAGGGCGGGGATCATACGAGTAGAGCAGTGCCTGATTGGCCACTCCATAGGCCACGAGCCACACAGCCAGAAAAAAAAGGAAGAAGAAAACGTCCTTCATCTGAGGGAAGCAAAGAGAGACCAGAGATGTTGTGAGGTAATGTTTAGACCTTTGTCATTTCAATTATATCTGCTGTTATCTGCTCTAGTCCAGAGGCTACATGATCCATTTCAATGACATGTAATCATAATTGAAATGAAACACATTAAAGTATATTGGTCACACTGATGTCATTTTCAATATGAGGCCCGTGGAATGCAGAAAAAGAAAGGTGCAGTGGGTCAAGCCAAGGTATCCATGACAGATGTGTTTATGGAGTGCTGTATGTGCACAACATGCCAGCCATAGACTATACTGTGACTGCATCACAATAAAAACAGACACTGGTGCAATGTTCATTAGAGAGGTCCTGATTAACCCTTTCATGCAGTCACTACAGTGGACTGCTATTCACAAGCCGTTTACTTGAATGGGCAGAGGTTCTGATAGTCTAGTTGCACACCAGCAACTGCAGTGGACACTAGTGTGTCATGCCGTACACTGCCACCCTCTGGATAGCCGTTGTAAGTGCAACTTAAATTCGTCAAAACCAAGATGGCCGACAGACAGTCGGGAAAACGGAGCAGCTCAGATAAATGTTGCCATTCCTCCTATTATAGGAGACCCCTGCAGGTAAATAAAATATGGTAACATCTAACAACTAAGGAGTAATACAATTGATAAACTTTCCAAGTATTGATTTTGTGTTGGGAGGAAATTACGATTAATCATCTGTCCACTAAACTGGACAATTAACTATCACTGAGACTTTGTTTTTCTTTAAAATACTTCATGTGCACAAATTTTTTGGATGTAAAATCAATGGATTTATGCTACAATTGGAGTTTTGTAAGAAAAACAATATTTTGTGCAGATTAGTTCCATTATGTGAGTAAAATTTAGTGTTTTGCAGCAGGTAACAGAAAGGCATTCAGGATAGTGGAGCAAATTCCCAAATGCTAGCAGCAGTGATAGTGGAGCTGAGGATGCTGAGAAAGAGAGGCTGAGGAGTCAGAAGTGAGGTTCAACGTATTTGCATTGCATTAAACAGTATTAGAATATGTTCAAATATGTGACAGCATTAAAATGATATTTTTTACATAATATATCATTTTATTTATTGGTTTGTTAAATAAATATTTCTACAGTTAAAACCTTACATGTATGCTGTCCACCTTAGTGGACAAGTACAAAATTCCTTGAAAAATGTGTGTTTAAAAAAGAAAAAATTCTAATTTTATTTTTCATGCCTAAAGAGCCATAAAAACACATAGGAAAAAAATCCTGACAGAGGCTGTAATTCATGTATGAAAGGTTTAAGTTTTAACTGGCCCTGATCCAAGTCCTTTAATACTGCATATCTGGTGATCCACAGTCTGACTGGCTACTTATATTTACCTAAATATTTATTAAAAATGGATCTGACACAGTGACACAGCTGTAGCCTACCTAATCTGACACACCTTATTTTTCAAGTGCTACTTCATCCAAAGACTGGTCCTGGTTCAAAATATATATTAATAATATTAAGTTAAGAAGCTTAAATGATTGTTTTGCTATGAATCATCTGAGAAAGGGACTCATGAGTGAGATGATGTAATCTGCTAGACAGAAGATGCATCACTCTGTTGGATTTGACTGAACTACAGAACTCACTCCATTACTGTAGAGTGGTGTTACAGAGTGGAGGTTATCCAGTACATAGACAGGCATGTTTAATTTTGGTTAAAGTTAAAGTTAGACGCACAGCATGTCATTTCTGCTGCTAGGGGTCTCTTACATAAAAACTACACAAAAGAAGAGGTAGTCTAATGACGTGGTGATGTAGCGGGGGATCATGAGAGCTGTCAGTTACCAGTTGGAAAAATTAGTTTCTCGAATTAATAAGAACATTCCTGCTTTGTTTCAGAAAAAACTGTTTTAATTCCATATGTTATATCATATTACAACAGATTTGTAAATGCCACTGACTGGAAAGAAATTTAATTAAGCAGCAATTCGTAACTTTTCTCCATGAGGTTGTACATTTTATCAATTTAATTTCTAAATCTAACAACAAAAAGGCTGTGAAAACTGTCTCAACATATGGTCCTCTTTTAATATCTTTATATAACATAGACTACCCCTAGCAAGGTTTTTATTAGTTATGTCTTCTTATATATTTGTATACTGTCCTGTATACTTCTCCCATATACCTTTTTTTGCAATAAAGATTTTTTTTAAAAGCTGACAGTTCAGTCTCCTGGTTAAGATTCTTTTAGTGTTCATTGTTAGTTATGTTAAAAATGGCCACGGCCTGAAAAGCATTTCATAAAAATGTGCCTAAACACTGGAGAAAGAGTCAGCTTCTGGCAGATAACCACAATTAATCGGTAAACACACGTCAAAGGGGATATGACACCACTAACAGGAGACATGTACAGCAATTGTAAGTCGCTTAGGATAAAAGCGTCAGCTAAATGAATAAATGTAAATGTAGTTACCCACAATATTCATGTTAATTAGCAACAGGGATATAATTTGCCACTGCACCATTTGGGATTTGAACTTTCTGTTAAACAACCCTTTGGTATGACTGATGTTTCAGCAACACACAAATTTCATTAATTTGTGTGTTGCCCATGTTTCGTGAGTTTTGTGTGCACTTACCATTTTGCCAACAATGATGATCTTGGGCCCAAGCTGTTTGTGGATGGCAAAGATATGGATCAGACGTAGTGTGAAGACCATAAAATCTATTGCCATCACAGCTCGGCCAAACTCATATGACCAGTGAAACATTCTGGGAAACAAAACAGTGCAGTTAATCACCAGTCATATGTCATGCAATATATTCACTTACATTATGACAGGTAAGGACAGATATTCATTAGCTTTTGAGCCAGTACAAAAAGGACTGGCAGCGATGCCTTCTGATCCTAGAGTGGCCTTGATCTGGTGCCGCTGCAAATGTAAATCCTTGTGTGAGTGTGTCAGAAGAGTCACCTGCAGCACAGACCCAAAGAGAAGAGGCCGAGGGCTGTGAGGTCACACTTGTTCCACACGTCCTGGATGTAGTTCCTCATACTCTGGAGCACATACGCATTGCCAACAAAGAAGGTCTGTCAACCATAGAGAGAGAGAGAGTTGAGTCAAGACAGTGTATGTGGTTATCTGTGCAGTATCTCTGTGTCAGTGAGAGAGGGGAATATCTTAGGTGATGTGGTAACCAATTAGCATTCAGACTGAAAATTGCGCTTAACTGTTGCTGACTGTACACTCTTTGTCTTACACAGAGAATTATACTTTTGAAAATCAACTATTTAGTTTACATTTATGTAAAATATTTTTTATGTGGATTGGGCCGCTCAGTAAGCGCCAATATATGTGTGCATGCTAATGTGTTAAAAACCAACCTGCCGAATCTCTTCACATACTAAGGTGAAAACCCAAAAGTAAAGCACAAACTCCAGAGGGGAAGGGCCGTCAGGTGGCGGGGGCTTAAAGTTCACCAGTAGAACATAGGCAAACAGGAAGAGGAAGAGGAAGTACATCAGCACATTGCCAAGGAATGATGTGACAGGGGCAAACCAGAACTGTCTCCACCGTGACACAATAAATGGTCTCTTCGAGTTGGATGGCAAAGAGTCTGAGGTAAAGAGAAGGAAAAGAATGTCAAGGATCAAGGATGTCAACAACCAGTCCTACATAATATATTATTATATACACTCAGTGGCCACTTTTTAGGTACACATGTTTGATAAAGAACTGATTCCAAAGGGAATCATGGTGCAGACATCATATACCGTGACACACAGCTGTCACTGTTGGTGATGCTTTAAGCATAGTACAAAAAGCATCTTATCTATCCATCCATCATTCCTTGCTCTGTCACTTGTCTAGGTCTCGGTGGTGAGAGAGAGAGAAAGACTCTTGCAGTAAGGATTTTTTCCTGACATCTGGTGTTAAGAGCACCACATTTCATTCTAACCCATTCTCACTCCCAAGTCATCACATATAGATGCACGGTATTAGTGTCATAGTTCAACGCACTGGGGGAAGCCCTTTTAGCGAGGTTTCTACACAGTTTTATAAATGAGACCCCAGGGGCCTAATTTAGAACCATTCCGAACAAAGCCTGACAGAGGCATCCATCACTTCCCACAAAAAAAAATCATCATCGGTTGTAGAAATCCAAGCATCAAATAGCATTAAAGAATTGCACAACAGAGCCTCAGCAGTTTTTAAAGGAGACCTAAAATACTGATTCCAGTCCTATATAAAATGCCATCAGGGGCAATTCAGGGTTCAGTATCTTGCCCAAGGTCAACTTCTAAGCTGACCCCCGGTGGTTAAAAGCAAACCGCACTTATACTGCCGACACTGGGTGAACTGAGTAAGAATCCTGGGTGAATGTCTGTCAAATATCCAACTTAAAACTAACTTCACCGCTGTCTTTTAGGACACTTTGCTGTTTGAACGCGGTTAACGCCACGTATTTGCTGAATCTCAAGAAATGGTAGGCTACTTTTACTAAGTGTAATAATATATTAACAATTCTTAACATTCATAAAATATATACTGATCATTTATCACTATTGATTAACCCCGAAGTTACCTGGATAAGCTCAAATCCTGCTTTGTGGTATGGGCCTCTGGTTGATAAAATAAACAATTATATTTTACCTGCTCTGCTCTTTTTGCCATGTCCAAATCTGAGCTGACCGAAATGGCAAGATGGCCATTTTAAATTAGTTTTTAGAAGTCATGGATGATTTCAAAGAGGCTATAGACAATAAAATTACCTGTGTATGTTTGTTCATAGACTTTTGTTTTGGTGGACCACCCTTTACTTAGTAATACCTTGATGAGTGCTGTCATTTGATACAAAGTGGCTAAATGGTTCCACAGTTATCTGATCATTCACAGATGGTTAAACATGGCAAGGACATGTCTAATCCAGTCCTTGCTACGAAGGGTGTACCACAAGGATCAGTTTTGGGACCCTTGCTTTTTCTAGTTTGTATTAATAATATCTGTGACAAGATCAAATTCTCTAAGCATGCAGATGATACAGTTATGTATCCCTGTGCCCCACTATTTACAGGTTTGCCTCTCCGTCCACCTTGTCCAAACGTGACCCCCTTTATCGCTCAGTTCTGACGAACTCTAGCTTCAGGACACATTGTTGTATATTGGTCATCGTACAGTAATCAGTGGGGCCCGTCTTCAGAAATACTATGCTTCAACAGCATTATATTGAGAAATCTTTTCATTAAGTGCAAAATGAGTGATACACATTTTAATATGCTTTTCCACATGACAAACTCTTAAATATCATCAAGAATACGTAAAAAAAAACACATTTTTTGTCATCGATTGGCCAGATACTACCATAGTGACATAGTGCAAAGCATATCATATAAAAACATTTAAACATGGATTATTTTGAAGTAATCTAAAAGTAACTAAACATAATCAGGTTACATTTCTTTTATTTTGTAGTACTTGGATTACGTTACTGATTACATTTTTTAACAAGTAACTAGTAATTCTACTGGATTACATTTTTAAAGTAATCCTCCCAACCCTGTAAATATATGATCTAATATTGCTGTCTTGGCTATGAACTGTACTTTACCTAATGTTGTTATTTTTGTTGTGTGGTTATTTGTTAGATCCTGATATTTGACCCTGTCTTGACTAGTTCTCACTTGTAAAATAGGTTGAAATTTGTGACTTATTAGTTAAATGGTTAAATTACGGTTAAGAAGAAGAAGAAGAACAGGGATATTCATGGTCCACAGAGGGTGATTCTTAATGATTTTAGTGACCCGGTGACCAACCCTACAACTAACCCCAACATTGCCCACAAAATATCATAATTTAGCAGATTGTTGTGACATTTACTCCCGAGTTGATAAACCTTTTGGATTTTAATAAAACTAAGGCCTTCTTCCAAGGCCACCCACAGAACAAACTCCACTATTGGTAAAATTAAGTGAACAATTTTTTTCCATTTGGACATTGTTGACTCTTGTTTTATCATACAGATTAAACAAGGGTTAGTGTAAGGATTTTTCATTATATAAGATTCTAAACCAATAAATTGTAATTTCCATTAAAATGATAGGGCAGGCATTGTTTTTTCTTATTATTAATAACAACCCCATAAAAAACAATAATTTATCCCACTAACCTTGTGTATTCTTTCATTATGAACACTGAAGGAATATGTTTCCAACATTTTCTGCAAGGTAGGGGTACCTAGGAGAATACCCACTGAGTGCAAGTACCAATAGCAGAATAGTGATCCAAACCCACCTTTCAGGTTTTCTTTTTCAGGGCTGATGTCTTCAACATCTTCGTCACTGCAACCCCAAACCAAGAATCAGGGATTTTTTTAGAACTGAGAAGGAAAACCGTCAGACAACCTAAATCTGATTTATTCTTGTATATTTACTTTTGTGTTGTGTCAGCAATGGAGAAGGCGTTGGCATCATGCCCATCCAGACTGTCAGAGTCTCTGGCATGGTGAACATCCACAGACTTAACATCCTCTTCTTGTTCCCTGTAAATTAACACACACACAACATGGCATGCCATGTTTGTAGTCAAAAAATTTTGACTTTGTAAACTTGCTTGTTTTTCTGTTCTAATGGTGCAGTATGTTTTAAACTCAGCTCTGGAATCATCTCGACTCCTGCCAATTCACTTGATCCAGTTCCAATACAGAACAGATTCAACTGTGTCCAACAACGTGTCAGAAATCATTGTCATGCCCAGTTCCCACAGCTAGGGCACCTTTCTAGACGAGCAGAGGCATGGGCTGCAGCTGGATGGGGTAGAGACTCTGCTTTATGCCACTCTTATCCATTCTTCACCCGTGCCCTCACTCAGATTTTACGGCACATTTCTCCTGCCAGAGAAGCGGTGTGAGCGCTCATGGGTCATCCGTCAGAGCAGAAGAAGAGTTGCAGACTACGTTGTGGAATTTCGTACCCTAGCTGGTGAGAGTGGTTAGAACCAGTCTGCGCTGTTTGATGCTTTTGTCCATGGACTCTCTGGTTCTGTAAAGGATCAATTAGCCCCTTTGGACCGTCCCAAGAGGTTGGATGCCCTTATAAGTCCTTCCATTAAGAACGACAAGCGCTTGGCCGAGAGAGAGAAGGAAGTCCTGGCAGGGCAGTTTTCTTCCTCATTCTCCAGGCCGTGCTCCACCATCTCTTCCTGCCCTCTGACATCTCTCTGGACTTTGTTACGGGGTTACCCCCCTCTAAAGGTAACACAACCATTCTCACAGTAGTAGACAAATTTTCCAAAATGGTGCATTTTATTCCCCTGGTTAAACTCCCATCTGCCAAAGAGATGGCAGAGATTGTGCTTATGTGTTCAGGTTGCATGGACTTCCCCTCCGCAGTTCATATCCCAGTTTTGGGGGGCACAGTGAGCATGTCCTCAGGCTACCACTCTCAAACCAATGGGCAGTCTGAGAGGCTCAACCAGGAATTAGAGACGGGTCTACGCTGCTTAGCCTCCAGGAACCCCTCCCATTGGAGTGAACAAATAATCTGGTTGGAGGATGCGCACAACACCCTGCCCAGCTCCTCCACTGGCCTAACCCCATTCCAATGTGTTTATCAGCCGCCCCTGTTCCCGGCTCTGGAGAGAGAAGTTGGGGTTCCTTCAGCCCAAACTCTGTTGCGGCGGTGGCATGGACCTAAGCTCGACAGTTGGTTGGCAACACGCCCTTACACCCTGTAAGTGTGTTTGACCTTTGCTTCAGTTTTTAGATATAGATTCCTGCCTTGTGTCTGCGGTACCTTCGCTTGTGTTTTTTGGACTAAGCAATAAGCCTATTTTTGTGAGTTAGGCTTTGGTCTGTGTGTCCGTCAGTTTCCTGTTTTATAAGTTGTCCTGATTTTACTTTATTTCCTGTTTTTGTCTTACCTGTTGATTCCTTATGTGTAACACCTGCAGTCAATCACCCTGCCTGCTTGTGTGTGTTGTTTGCATCAGTATCTATTGTCGAGAGGACTGTGGCCTGAACTAAGAAGTGAGGTAACTGGCTTATCCAGGTAACATCAGGAGTAATTTTGTGACATCGGGTGTAACTCCCCAATTAACCCGTGCCATGGCAATTTTCACTTCATCTCTAAACCGCTCTGAGCAGGTTATCTTACACATTTGTACCACATTTGTACAGTGTTAATGAGAACTATTAGCCTAGTACACACCACTTGATAAAATATTTTTAGATATCATCCTGACTTGTTCCACTGGGCTTGCAGCTGAAATCAAGTTATTCTTAACACAACAGCATTATGTTATACAGCGAGCCCGAGGGGGGGGCGAGCCCTGCAGCCTCTGTGATTTGTGAATTAAATCGGCCATTTTCTGAGATCCAGCCCATCTGTGTGTGCTAACTGAATTTTGATTGACTATATTACGTGTCCAAAAAATACGAAGCAATGGTGGGGATTAACAATCTCAGAAAAAAAATCCTAGATGAAAGTGGTAAATTTACAAGAACAAAATGTGGTCACAAGTCACAAAAAATCCAAATCAGTCTGCTGTTTTCAAATGAATACGCCCAGTTCACAGCAAAGTCTCTAAAGTCCCATTGCAATTGATGGTGATTGTGTGCTAAATATTTCATCACCACAACCACATCGCTTCACTTTGCAAGGCTGCAACATTACATTACAGTTGAAAATCATATGACAGGCTACTTCACAATTGGATTTAGTAATGAGTGTACTCGTGATTTTAGCCTACAATCACCACATTATCATACGTATTGGGACCTTAGAGACTCAGTTATTTTTGACATGAATCTTGACTTGATGAATACAGTTTAGAAAATGCTTCTACGATTAGAAAGTGAGAATAAATAATAATAGGCAACAAAAGACTGTTTGCACAAAAGGTGCTAACGTCAAATCTCATTCCGATTTTCACCAACAAAACAAAAGAGCTCTCTCACTATCAAATTTACACACTAACCACACAAGAATAACACAATATTAACACAACACTGACCTGAATTTAATAAGGTCTGTGTAGATGAGCGGGGACAGGAAGAAGGTGAGAACCAGTTTCCAGACCTCAGTACTCCTCTCCATGTCACCCCACCAGATCTGTGACAGCAGAGACTACAGCAGAGAGAAGCACTGTCACTACAACAGCCCCCAACCAACATTACACTCACTGAATACATTCATTTACACTGTCTGCATCAACATCAATTTTGCAAACCCAACGTTGGTATTTAAAAACTTCAGATTTGTTAAATTAATTAATCATGAACCTTTCAAGAATTGAATTTGTAAGGTGGATGTTGGAAGTGAATGCAAAGGTTTGAAATCACAAGTGATAATTAATTTATTTAAAGGGGCATTATGGAGTTTCCTGCGGCCACTAGCGGTGTGGTTTTAAGATTGTAACCAGGTGTGTGCTCGTACGCGTGCTTGCTTGAATGAACAATGAACAAACATAATCCGAAACACAACCGCTTTCATACAGAAATCCCATAGTCAACACGGAAACACCGGCATGCCAGCTGTGGCTTTTCTTTAGACATGTTCAGGCTCTGTTACTTCAACGTTCCCGTCTCAGAGGCAGATCAACACCGGCTTTAGTGTTACTTTATTATATTTATTGTATCGTTGTTGCTGTTTTATTGCAGTAGCAGTATATTATGTGGGTCATGTTAGCGACTGAGAGGTGGAGAAGCTGTGTACCTGAGTATCATAAAACGACAATATATCTAAATTGAACGTTATGAAGCAAATTAGCGTTTAGCTGGCTGCAGCCCATTGACAATAAGGCAGTGAAAATGATTAATTCCTAAGTGATTTCATTGAAAAACTCCATATAGCCCCTTCAACATGTAACTTTGATTTTGAATGTTTATTTTTCAAACTCAGTAAGACAATTATTTTGCTAAATTATATATGTATATGATTAATCAACATTATTACATTTCAGCCAAGAAGCAGGCACCTAATATAAATCTTCAGTCCGTCTGTGGTTTGAAGTACCTTTCTAAATGCAGTGCATGTGTTGTCAAATTGGTGAATGTGTTTTTCTTGCTGTTTGTTTCTCTCGGCCTGGCAATTTTACCAGTCTGTTAAATCCTAATGTTTGCAGGGACAGCATCTCTACCTGAACACCATCGTGGCTGAAGAACAGGCGGGCGTCAGCTGCAGTGGCCATCTGCAGGCACGTGGCCCCACCCCACACTGAAGACTTCCTTATAAGGAGTGTGAAGGAGCGACTCTCGCTGTTCTGGTAACACTCACCCAATACATCTGAACACACAAACATCATATAATACACAGACTGACTTTTTTTCCTCCTTCATAATGGCTAAGGATTGCTTGTCTAGGCTGCTAGCTAACAGGGTTTGGGCCATTTTATGTATAACAAACAATAGAGACATGACAGAAAATGCGGTAGACAGAGATGCAGAAGGTCTTGCAAGACTCAAAGAGGGGACCTTAAGCCACTGGATTATTTTTAGATATAATTAATAGATGTATTTCACTGCTCTTGATTAAGTTAAAGCACAGTTACTAGGACAACAAGAAGCTTGCTGTCTGACTCACCATGTGCCAGGTCCTCAAACTTCTGTGCTAGTTCCTTCATGGCCAGCTTGCTCTCAGTCTCACTCTCAAGCTTAGAAAGCTCCCTCAGCATCTTGCAACCCCCCAGAGCGCTCAGCACAGACTCCCCTGTCTGACAAGGAAAGACAGACAGACAGGGTGCCCAAAAAACACCAGTTCAGTGAAACCAAATGTGATGGCAATTTTGAGAAATGGCAGGTTTGGGATCCCAGGGAAGTTTGCTGTAGTGTGAATTGCTGGTCAGCCTTCTCATGGCACTTCATGTCACCTCTCATGTCGTCACCTGAAACTGGTCAGGTTTAAACTATGTACTACAAAAGACAACGTCATCTGAACACAGCCAATACCCCACACCTATCTAAAATATTTATAATTGTATGAAATGTCCTCATTGAGTATTACATGCAAGTCTCACCATCTCCCAGAAGTAAACAGCCATTTCACTGTAGTTCTGCAGGACGGCCCAGATGAAGAGCGCTGCCCAGGGCGAGGCACAGCTCTGTTCCCGGTAGGAACAGTCCCCCACCAGCATTTTATTGACATGCTGAAGGTAAGACAAGACACAGGACTTGCCAGTGAGGGAGTCAAATCTGAACAAAGTTTCTTACTGTTAATAACAGTGTTTTAATACATTATCTATTTTAAATTGCGCCTGCAGCTTTGATGGTTGTCAGTGATTCTGTATGGTGGCCCTGAAGTGAAAAACACATTTTCATAAAGTTGTTTCTGTGTATCTCTTTTGGTCAGTATCATAAAAAAAAAACTCCCCAAAGCAGGACTGATCCCAGAGGAGATGTAAACTTTTGAATGTATACATTAGAGTTCTCCAGTGATTTAGCATTGCACTACAAGTGTTGGACTCACAATGCTGCAGTCTTTTTAATTGCATGCATTCTTCTTCCTTGTCAAAACCTGCCGCTACATTTGCCGACAGTTGCGTCAGAGATTTGGGTGCATAATGCTAGTGGCTGCTTATAGCCCGGAGCCTCTGGCCTCATAATAATAATAATAATAATAATAATCCTTATTTGTAGCACTTTTCAAAAACAAGTTACAAAGTGCTTTAACAAGTGTAAAGACAATAATACCCAAGAGACAATAATACAAAAACAATACAAGATAAAAGCATGAAAACATTGAAAAGACTAAAATACAGATAAATATAAAATTAGTAAAATACAATAAAATAAAAGGGATAAAATAAAGTGAAATAAGATCGGGAAAGGCTCTCCTATAAAAGTATGTTTTAAGAAGGGACTTAAAAGAGTTCACTGACTCAGCTGACCTGATTTCCTCGGGCAGGCTGTTCCAGAGCCTCGGGGCCCTGACAGCAAACGCTCTGTCCCCTTTAGTTTTCAGTCGAGACTCTGGAACAGACAACAGACCTCTGCCCGAGGATCTCAAGGTACGTGCTGGTGTGTATGGGACTAAAAGGTCAGAAATATAACAAGGCGAGAGGCCATGAAGAGCTTTAAAAGTGATCAATAGAATTTTAAAGTCAATTCTAAAACATACTGGGAGCCAGTGTAATGAAGCTAAAATAGGGGTAATGTGTTCATATTTCTTTGTTCTGGTTAAAAGCCTGACAGCTGAGTTCTGGACAGTCTGGAGTCGATCAATAGATTTTTGGGTTAAACAGGTGAAAAGGCTGTTGCAATAATCCAGGCGTGATGAGATGAAGGCGTGTAAAATGGTCTCGGTGTCCTTAAAAGTTAACATAGATGGAATTTTTGCTATATTTCTAAGTTGATAAAAACATGATTGAACAAGCTTTGTGGTGTGCTGCTCGAAATTTAAATTACTATCAAACCAAACACCAAGGTTCTTTGCCACAGGCTTAATGTGATTTACTAGGGAACCAGCAGATGGCAGTATTTGATTTGCCATCTGCCGATGACCAGGATTTTTGTTTTGTCTGAGTTCAGCTGGAGGAAATTATTTGACATCCATGTTTTAACTTCACAAAGGCAGTTGTTAAGTGAACTCAGCATTCCAGTGTCTGTGGATCTGACGGGCAAGTATATTTGTGTGTCATCAGCATAAATATGAAAAGAAATGCCATGTTTATGGATGGCCTCATGCAGAGATGAGGAGAGGGCTAGAAATAAGCTCACTTCTTTCTAACTCCATACTGTGAGATTTTATTTATTTTCAAAACACAAATGCCACAAAAGGCTTTACACAACTTTTTTCACATATGAAATAGATTTTGTGTAAAATCGCAGGGGATCCCCACTCACTGACCTTGAGAGCCCTCCTGGTGCTGATTTTGTAGTCAAGGCCCAGAGGTCCATAGTAGAAAGGCTGACAGACATCACCCAACAGGTCCCACAGCAGGCGGGATACCTGCAGCATCAACAGACAAATCCCATTTATGTTTACATGATCAGAAATGGAGGATTGAGGGAAATTAATTGAAAGTTAAACGGGTGCAAATCATGACTTCGTTGCTACATTCAGTGACTTCTCAAAGTTCTCTAGCAACTTTGTTTTTCAAAGGTCTCCAAAGCCACTCTCCAAAACACATGATCATGTGCAGTGAGTGCACAGGAAGAGTACACGCAGGTAGACAGGCAGGTAGGCGAGCCAATCATTTTATTCAGATTCAAATGAAATTATTGGCCGTGCTAATTACAGTCCTGCAACAGCCACAGCTACCATATATTTGTAGCAATGCATTTGATTTATTGATTGCTTTCGGGATGTTTCGGGATGTAAAAAGAATTTCACCAAAAATAATTGAAATCACTAAATGTTTCTGAAATAAAATGCCTGCCCCAGATTGAACTATTTCTACTACTAATGCTATTGTAGCCTACAACATAACATGTAATTCAAATAAAGTAAAAGAGCTATATAAAGACTAAGACTATATAAAAGTAATTACCATTAGCAGCTGCATCATCGCCGTCATCTCAAAGTAATGACCAATCAACATGACATCAACAGAATCATTCACCCACCCACTGCACACCACTGACACTATGTTTAAACCTTCTATTATTATGTTAAATTTCCCTTTCCCCATCCTCCCCTCCATTTCCTCACATGATACAGGTTGAGCTCCATTGCTGGGGCGTGTCCAGTTGGTGCACTCGGACTCTTCAGAGGTATCCCCTCCTCTGTCTTAGCTCCATCTAGGTTGTGTAAGGATCCAGCCAGGCCCTGCCTGTCGCTCAGATGCTTCTGGAGCAGATCATAGGCCACTGAGCTGTCTGACAGCGAGCGGTACAAGCTTTCCAAGCGGCCGTATGTCAGGTAGTCCAGGATATTCAGACCATTCTCACAGAAGAGGCGCACAAACTGGGGCTTGTTGTTGATCAGTGCATCTGTCATGGAGTCTTCGAGGTCCTCATACTGAAAACATAATCACTTCATCAACATTATGTGATTGAAGCAAGCAGGGACACATTTCTTACCACTTTCTGTAGGATAGACCCTGGTTTCTCTACTTGAAAAAAAAATCACAGCACTGCCAATGCATGATGTTTGCTGACCTCAACTAATCAAAATGTGTGGTTATGTAAGTGACCAGAAAGAAAGGCAAATTCACTATATAACATAAATATACTATTCATCTGAAATTTACCGAGCACATTCATGAACCCTTTAATTTTAATGATCCATGAACAAGCTTTATAGTATTATTTAAATATTAACAGTTCTTTACTGCTAAGGCTGAAATAGTTGCAAAGCTTAATCACATTTGTAATTCACCTTCCAATGTATGCCTCCATTGAAAAGCTCAGTTTTGGCGATGTCCACCCGGTCCCAAGCCACGGCCAGTTTCAGCTCTTCAGTGTACTCACTGGCATTACTGGCCACATATTTACTAGCTTAAAAACACACACACACACACACACACACACACACACACACACACACACACACACACACACACACAGGGAAGAGGTCATTATTATTATAATAATAATAATAAAATTGAACATTGCAATGCATAAATTCTTTCACAGAAGACTGTGAAGAATATGGAAGTGTTGGATCATAGGATTGAAGGAGTTTGATCCAAGTAATAAACTTATGACTATAACCAAACACATGTTAAGTTTCAAATCAATAATCCCATTCCACCCTATAAAATGCTCTGCATCCAGTAGGTAACCCTCTCTGGATCATCCAAGGATGCGGGACAGTAGATCCCATTTAAAAGGCAACAAATATTGGAAAAGGAAGGGTGACCAAAAATCTTGACGAAATTATATCAGGAGAGGCTAGTTTTATCGAAAATATTATAGTCAATGTAAATCAATGTATCTACTTACCTTTAACAAGGGCTTTGAGGAGAACTGTATCAAAATCATCAGAACCCTCCTGTTCTCCGTTGAAAACAGTGACCAGCTCTCTGTTCTTATAAATACTCAAAGCCTATACACACAGAGGTAGTGAAAGGGAATGATCAAATGAACATTTCATTTTAATACATCATAGTCAGGTTTCATTATTATAATTTTTTATTGTTAATTTCTCCCGTAAACATTAATAGGGTTATAATATTTTCAAAAAGTCTTCTGGTTGAATCATCAATTCTTGCCAACCAATGCAGAGACTCTGTTTTGATCGTGATAGCAATGCTTGCTGCTCATCACAATACAGTGCCGCGACAAAAACTGCATTGTGAAGGAAACTGACACACACACACACACACACACACACACAGACATGTGTGGTCCGACTCACCCTATCAACCATTTTCTCCAGCTCTGCTTCACCTGGGAAGTGTCTCCGGACCTTGTCACGAACCCAGTCGCGGTGCTCTGAGCTGAGACCGTCGCCCTTTGTTTCCTTCGGTCCCACCTCTGCCCCATTAGAGGAGAGACTGTCCAGCAGCTCACTGATAAGGTCTGCAGCTGGACCAGTACCAGCAAGAACCAGCCAGGGCGTAGCTTTCCTCAGAGAGGCATCTAATCTCTGAGCCGGGGAATATGTGTACACAAACAGTCTCAGTAAGATGGACATCTCTCTTTCAAACAACTGAGTCACAATCAGAAATTTCACTACTTCATTTAGAAAATATATAATATATATAATATAATTTGCCATAAAATATGAGACACTACTTTATAATCAGTAGGGTGCAGTAAGACAGAAAAAGACAGATACGGAATGTCATTCACACTGCTGGGGGGTGAGAGGTCTGAGATCAATCTCAAAATCAAAAAACACCTCTATGGACAAGCAAAAATTACTATGTTTTACGTGGACCCTCTTGCATGACATGCCACTGGATTGACAGGAAAGTGGTGTGCTGCCGATGGCCAGTAACTCTTTGTGTATAAATAAATACACACCACATCAACTGAAACTCCCAGTTAGTGCACACTTTTTGGCCCGAGGAGACCAGGCCCGCCCAACAAACCTGGAAACTAGAGGGACTGCAGAAAGCTAGTCAAACTCACTGAAGTACAGTCCAGGCCTGCATGTTTTTCTGTTTTTTGGCCACCTAAGGCATTCAGCATTTGTTGTGTGTTTTAGTAGCTCATACCGCTGTAAGGCTGTAATTAAATCCCCTAGACCTCATAACATTGTTTTACCAGTACTACATGTGCCGTGACAATAAGGCTAAAATATTTTGGTAAACTCCAAAATGCTATTATAGCATGTGTGTGTGTGTGTGTGTGTGTGTGTGTAAAAGAATGTATTTGACAGTCTGCTTACCTCCAGCATACTGGCGTCTCCTGAGATGAGCATGCACAGCACTGGGATTTCAATACTGCCACTACCTGTTATGGGCCCAGGACAAGAAGTCAGAAGAAAAAGACAGATAGCGTATACTGGATGTGTGCAGCAGTGTTTCTGTGGTGAAGCTACCTAACAATCATTCATTTACAAAAGGAGTTTCATACTTGGTCTGACATACAGTGTGATGCAACTATTAAAGCTGTTACCTTCACCAGTAGAGGGCAGGCAAGTACTTAACACACATTTTCCTCATTAGTCCCTTTCAGACAAGAAGCTGACTGTATATTTTCTGGCAAGTCACGGTGTCATGTTTTGATAAATATAGACAGTTGGAATTCAGGCCATGACACAACTGAGAGTGTTCCTCATATTTACTGTATATTATGTGTAGACACAATTGATTTTTATTGCTATGTGGATGTCCCTTTACAGCCTGGTACCACTTATCTCCATTACATCCTGTCTCACTGAAATTGAGAATTGGATGTCAAAGAGTTTCCTGCAGCTGAATGACTCGAAATCAGATATTATCAGTTATAATTACCCTGCATTATTAACAACCTGTCCTTCAGTCTGGGGGCCTAATAATGTTAATAAAAAGATAAACTCAGTGTCCCCCTTTAAATCTCTTCTTAACACTCACTCTTATCGTCTGGCTTTTTATTAAATTATGGTGTTTGTTTATTTTATATTTGATGTTTTGAACTTTATTTACATGTTCTGTTTTTATTTTATTTTATTAAAGCTTTTTGTACCTGTGGTTTGAAAGGTGCTGTATAAATAAAGTTATTATTATTACTGTCAGCACAGTGGTGAGGAGAGGAATACAGACAACAGAGCTCCCTCTCTTGGAGTCAGACAATAGTGCAAACACTATGGCTATATATGATGGCTGCGTGTGATGTATATTTATGAACACAGATTTTTTTTTGGGAACCATTTTTATATCTACATGCAAAAGCCAAAAGATGAACCAGCAATATTTGAAGGTGGCTGTTTTTCACATATTATATGTCTCTATCTCACCCCAAATGCCTGTGCGCTGATGGGAAATGTAGTCCTCCAGACGAGCACGAAAGGCTGTCTCTCCTCCCCGGCGGCCAACACTCCCATCATCCACCAGGAGGAACGCCTGGCAGTTGTTGTCCAGGCGGCAGGAGTCGCGTGATGTGTTCTGGACGTAGTACCGAGCAGGGAAACTCCCCTTCAAACAGACAACACAAATAGGGAGTTCATTCTCAGTGGAAACTGCTCTGCCTCCCGTGTAGTAGGAGGCGGGGTGCTGCAGCATTTCTTTTCCAGAGATGATGCTCCATTTACTCTGCCCTCCACTTCATTATGTTCTCTCTGTGCTGTCACTGACACATCATCACTGTAAAAATCTCCGTTCTATCGAGTCAATTTGTAATGGAGTCCTTGAAGTCGTACTTTCTTAAACAAGTTAAAATATCAACCAGTGCTGCTTCAAGTACTTTAAAAAATTTTCTCGTGCAGCGATTTACCTTATTCTTTCTAGTTTTCACATTCATTTATACAAAGTTCATGAAACGTTTCTGACTGAATTCTAAACATACACGACTTGACAAGATACAGATCCCCACAGACTGCATCTTCTTTTAATGCACTTAAAGAAAAAAAGAATATTTCCTTTGGCAATTATTAGATTATATTTGTTATACCTTTGCAACCATGGAGTAATAGTAAAAATAAACAAATGACATCCATCCATTGTCAACCGCTTATCCTGCGTACAGGGTCATGGGGGGCTGGAGCCAATCCCAGCTGACATCATGCAAAAGGTGGGGTACAGGACACCAGTCCATCACAGGGCCACACATAGACAAACAACCACTCACATTCACACCTAAGGACAATTTAGGGTCACCAATTAACCTAGTCCACATGTCTTTGGCTGGTGGGAGGAAGCCAGAGCACCCGGAGACATGTGGAGAACATATAAACTCCACACAGAGAGACCGGTGCAACCGGGGTTTGAACCTGCAACCTTTTTGCTGTGAGGCGACAGTACTAACCACTACACCACCGCACCAACATGGCCAAAAATTATATCACGATAAAAAGTTTCATGTTTTTCAATATTGATAATTATCACGATAAGTATCAAATCGTTATTTCTTACGAGTTTAAAGGCTTATTTATGCCACTGAGTTAAAGTTGAAGAAACCTGATGGTTAATTGTGGTCGACACTTGACGCCAAACAGAGGATCACTTCACAAATCTGAGGCAGAACATTCAGAACTATTATGATAAAATCTTTGTCAACAAATAAGCATGAGTAAAATTAAGCAAAAGTAATTTTTCCTCAAGAAAATAAAACATCTTAATTAAAAAATAAGTCCTAATTCATGTACTGTATGATTCAAATGAATAAAATCCAACATTTATTGAATATTTATTGAACATTTGTTATATTGTTATATCGCGATAATTATTGTTATTGTTTTACTGTCCAGCCGTACTGCTGGTATAACCAACTGTCTCAGATTGACGGTCTCATTTGTCACTCTCACTTTGTGTAACAGATGTGAAATAAGAGCAATTCATGCTGTCCTTTTAAAATGAAATATTGGTGAGTTATTGTATTATTATGTGATAATTTGATTATTTGTTTGTGTGTAGTTTCAGGAGGAGGCCAACTGCTCTCCAATTATAACAAGCAAAGCGTGCGGGTTGTATAGTGTACTATCTGAGAGAAAGCACCTAGTATGCACACTTTATTATGAGTACCAGGGCATTGACAAGTTGCTCCCTGTTGTGCACCACGCCCCAGGGTGCCAGTCCCACAGCAATCACTTTCTTCTGGGAAAGAGCAGGAGCCGCGGCCCCAAGGTCCCTCACCGCCTCACCCACACAGCGGGCCACACCCTCCCTTAGACCCCCCGTCAAGATCCAGGCTCCTGGGCAAGAGTAGAGACAAAAGTAGCAAGGAGAGACACACATGGTGTGCTTTTCAATAACTCAGCGTACAGTAGTATAACATGCTACATTTTATAACTGACATAATGATATTTGGAGAATAAATATCAGTACATATATTGAGCCTGGTTCCAATCACCTCTCCTTTGCTGTTTTTTGGGAGTTTTTTTTAGTTTGAAACCCAACACTTTCGGCATAGTGTTTAACATTAAAAGCCTTATGACACAGAAAATAACCCCCCCCCCCTTTTCCTGGTAGGCTTTTAAAGCGAGGCATTTCATAACACCAAATAAAACAATCTGATATTATTTAGTGAGTAAGGACAGTATTTCTATCATAGAGAAAAAACAGAAATAGAAATCTTATTAAATTCTCCTTTTCTCATTTATAGACCAACATAGCTGATGTAACAACTGTGATCGCCTCTTGGCTTCTATCTTCAACAGTGTGTTCTAGATAGTGTTAACATGGCCTTGAAAATTGGCTTTACTTAAACGTAGTTAACAAACTATTAATTACCAATTTTGTTCCAAAATAAACATAATACAGTTTTCTTAATCATCAACATCTCAGTAGCCATATTTAAGCCCAAGTCCAAGATGCTCATCTCCTTTTGCCAAATGTTCCAAGTTACATGATTTAATTTGCATCACATTACCAAGGCTTTCTGGGACACTGGAATAGAGCGGAGCCATGCTGTGTTATTAAGAACACAAGTGCTTTTCCTCCTTTGACAATTCAGTATGTGAAAAGGTCTATTCTCCCAGCTTTCTTCTCAATGCAGATCATTTGGAGCTTTTGGTTAAATTAACAGCAAGGAAATTACATTGTTCTGTTAATAACTGTTCACACCCAATGTGTGGTCTTTTTGTAAAATTTAACAATGTTGTTTCTGCTAAAACTAGAATTATCATCATAGATTTTGGGATGTTTTCATACACAATTGCTCCACGTTGCATTCTCAAAGGTGTGGGTTCTTACCTGTGCTCTGCGCAGCCCTAACCAGCCCGTTTCTCAGGATATTTCTAACCCATGTTTTGATCTTCTCATGGCCTTCGCCCCCCACCACTGACACCACCAAGTTAGGTGGGGGCAGGTTCCAGTAATCCATCATCAGTTTGTAGATGACCTCTGGTTGTGTGTCACATGACAGCCGCACAAACTAAACAGGACAAAGAGAGGATTGCAGTGTATTTATCAAATCATTTTTCACTGACAAAGATGTAATGACACTTTAACATCATTTAAAATGTTTGTCTGAACAAAAGATACCTGGAAACTAAACCTAGAACTCAGTTGGGCCACAACAAGCAACTAACACCCTGTCCACATCATTGGCCCATTCTACAGGTACAGGTATAACTGAGAGGAGGGACGGGTGGTGCATAGATAAGATGCTTGCCTTTGATGTGGGAGACCTGGGTTTGATTCCCACTGTGAGACATCCACCATTGTGTCCCTGAGCAAGACACTTAATCCCTAGTTGCTCCAGAGGCGTGTGAACTCTGACATGTATAGCAATTGTAAGTCGCTTTGGATAAAAGCGTCAGCTAAATGAATAAATGTAAATATCCAGACCGGAATGCTGAGGATTTGATTTAATATGAGTCTGGACTTTTTTGTTCTTCAATAGGGGTTTAAAATTGATCTGGAAATGTTGTCAGAGCGACACGTTCTTAAGCCCAAACCTGCAAAAGTGCAGGCTTATTGACAGTTAGCTGGATTATTGACCAAGATGTTCAAGGGTAAACCTCATACATGAACACATTTCAAATACATTTGGCTCACTGTTTTTATTTAGTAAGAGTATTGATAGTGTAGTTATGACTTTAGATTAGAACTTGCAGAACAATTTTAGCTGGATGCAGGGGTGGACCGGTAATCTGGCAAAGGCCTACCGGGCAAATGCCCATTGGGCTGATGCACCTTTGGGGCTGGTAACGTAGGGTAGAGTGGTGTAAGACGCAGCCCCTAAGCTCAACACTGACACATAAAATATTATTTTATTGGGTTTTTTGTATCTTGGAAATGGCCATGCTTAGGATAACATAATATAAAGTAAATTAAATACCTACAGTTGACAAATTAATTTGTATTTAATCAAATGTATTTTTTTTAGGAAAAATGAATTTTTTATTTTAAAATAAACTACAAGTAGCTGGTTAAAAGCAAGGGAATTATAGACTTATGTTGTAGAAATAAACTTGCCTTGCCTTATGTTATTAGCTTTCCTATAATTTATTTTTCAGACTTTTAAATAGTGAGGTTGCTGGAACTTCATTAACAGAAAGTCTGAGGTAAAACATGCGCATGCCAGCTAGCTAGCTGCAAATGTGAACATATGTGAGCTTCTAACTTCAGAATTTTACCTCAGACTTTCAGATAGTGAAGTTGCTAGTTGGCTATAGGGTCTGTCCAGTGTCTAAATAAAATCAACCAACCATCAACCATAAAGTGGCACAGCGACCAGGGGGGCGTCTTACCCCAAACATACTATTCTAACATGTTACTACTTTAACCAAAAACTATAAAAATCTTTCTCTCTAAACCTTTGCATACCTTATCTTAAGGCTCCCCTTAATGTAAATATACATATACATTTTGTGTTATTAAAATATATTCTCGTCTTGTAGTCATGGCCACCACTACAAACATGCAATTAGGGGTCAAGTGTCTTTCTCAGGGACACAATGGTGGATGTCTCACAGTGGAAATCGAACCCAGGTCTCCCACACCAAAAGTAAGCATCTAATCTATGCACCACCCTCAACCCAAAGCATTTGTTACCTGCAGAAAAGCAGGCTTTGACCGCCGACTGCCTTCTATTGTTGAAAGCATTAAGTCTGTTTTCCCCTAAAGGTGTGGTCAGAAGTTAAACCAATAGAGGTCAGCATAACAAGATGTTCAGGGGTTGTTACGCTGCTTGGCGTGCACGCCCCCTGTTGGTAAGAGCATCTTTTCCTGATAACTATTTGCTACAGGTTGGGTTTGCCATCAAAATTGGGCTGACCTGCGGGTTACATTCATCACCACTCTGTCAAAGGGTATACCGGTACATCTACGACTGTGTATGATGTGTATGTGTTCAGCACTGCGACTCACATGGCTATGTCTGCGTCCAGCGCCGGCAAACTCCAGCTGTCCAAAAGCATCGGTGGGACACTCTGTGGAGTGCTTGATGCTGTCCCACTGGGTGACAATAGCTCCACAGCTGTCCCCTGTTGCCACATAGCAGTGAACCTCCCGCTCACTACCGCACTGACACCACACTCCATTTCTGACACACACCAGACAAACCAACAAAAACACACAACCCTGTTATTCTTGGTTTGTAGGGGCTCAAATGCCCTGAGACATTTCAATGCATTTGAGGTAATGATACAGTTTTTACAGAAAGTTACTTACTGGTTCATAGTTGGTCACATCCTATCTCTCTAAGTTAACAGGAAGGCTGTACTAGAGTTTGTGGGCCCTGGCAGCAAATCCACAACTTCCTTCAGTTTTAATTCTAGACTGGTGGGAGGCCTGAGGTTGAGTGCAGGTTTATACAGTAAAGCATACTAGGAGTGGAACCTTAAAATGAATTATAAAATCAAATTGGAAGCCAATGCAAAGATGCCAGAATTTGTGTGACATGTACAGGCCCCTCAGGCAGGTAAAGTGTGATGGTTCAGCTGTCCCTCCTCTTCTTCCCCTGTGTTTTCCTGCGGGTATACCCTTCCTGTGTTTCTTGTTTGTTTTCCCTGTTTGTGTGTGTGTGTGTGTGTGTGTGTGTGTGTGTGTGTGTGTGTGTGTGACCTGTTGACAGCTATGTGTGGGCGTGGCGCTCCTTGGCTGCTTAGTGGTTACCTGCCTCCTGCACACCTGAGACTCATTCCACTAATCAGATTCTGACCTTTTACCTGTTGATTCATGTTTGTTACTTTGTGCTTAGAAAATCTCCTGCTGTGAGACCTGCCTTGCTTTCTGCCATACAGATCATAATAATCAGAATCAGAAGGAGCTTTATTGCCAAGTAGTATTTTACACATACGAGGAATTTGCTTTGGTGATAAGGTGCTACACGTAGACAAACATACAGTCGACATAAATAAATGTAGAAATATATAAAAATGGAATTGACCATGCAAGTTATATAAAAATAATAGAAAGAATAGGGAAAAATTATACAAATATTTGCAGAGAAAGATCACAGATATTTACATGTGCATTATTCTGGGTTTGTGCAAAGTTCTGGCACAGAGCTTAACATTGAGGGCCAGGTTGAGTATTATTTGATGAAGTGGAAGCACGTAGATACTGTACAAAAGAAAAGGACAGGGCTTTGAGCTACTCTACAGTTCAAGTAGTAATAGAGTAATAGTAAACTTTCAGAGAGCGAGGAGATAAACCACACAAGGACAGAGTGCAACTCCTACAACGTCTCTTAGGTGTAAAGATACAATGATATGCTCTATCAAATGCAGAGCTCAATATAATCCATGCAGAGCCTTCACCAAAAGGGTTATGGATCAAACAACAATAAATTATAGAATGATATGATTAAAGGAGACCTTTTATACTGCATTTCCAGCCCTCTATTGTAGTTCTGTGAAAAACTGTTGAAACCGGAGCGTTCAGAACAGAGGGAAGTCTGAGGTTTTGGCTCACAGGGATTTCTTTTAAATATGTTGACCTCATTATTCGAAGCTTTGGCCATGTTTAACACAAACATCTGATATTGTAACATTTTAAATAAGACAGAAAATACGGAAAAGCATAACCAATCGCCTTAAAAATAATGATTTCTTATGATCATGAATCAAATATTTTTGCATTTTAAACAAGACATGAAGAAAAAATTACCTGGAAGAGTCTTCAACAAAAGTAGTGCACACTCGCTTGTTGATGGTCCTGGGAATCCAGCCCTGAGAGCAGGAAAACAGTTTGTTAGAACCATAAGTACAAAGAAATATGGAGTCAATGACATACTGTATTTATAAGTACAAGTTGCAGTTTATACGTCTAACTGTGCTGAATTGCTCTGAATATAAAGAAAGAAGGCAGGGGAAACAAGCTTTACCTACTGTAAAGTTCTAGTCCAACTTTATTGCCATGTGTATTAAACATTTAATAAAGTGTTGTGGCTTTTTCTACTTTTTTATACACAATATACAGTGATAAACATTCTATGTGTGCGGACATCAAGGCAACAATATTCAGGTCCAAGACAAGAAACAGAACTGCAAGGTCACCACTGCAGAGTGTTAGGCTCCACATAAACCGATTAATTATCTTTTAAGGGCAAACTTTTGATCTACAAGTCGCTCCTCAGCAGAGTGTCAAAGAGGAAACAGGTATTAGTTGTACTGTTGCTGTCATATCATTAACATTATATTTAAAGAAATTTTTTTTTTCTATTTTTGTTTCTATTTTCTGAAGTACAGTGACTGCCATTTTGTGGTGTTTGTTGTTTTACCCTGCTACTTGCTGAGCAGCAGGGGATAGTGATTCAGACACACTCTGCCCCTGGGGCTAAGGTCTTTCTCCCAGACTCTCTGTTTTGTGTTTTGTCAGGGTGTCTTGTAGAGAGAATGCCCAGGTGCATGTGAAAATCGAGTGAGGCAGAATTGGAGACAATGCATTTACATGCACTGGAGAAACCTGTTTACAGTAAAACCCACTGTATCCGCCGCACACAGTCACAGTTCTCCCCTACCTCAACCTCATTTCAGAACAATTGTTTACCTCTTTTGTACGAGACATTTCTAGGACATCTGTTGGAGATATCAGTTTTCTCATATTAACTATCCTGAACACTGAAACCACATTTCTTGTATAAAACGGTGTTCAAGAAACATGATTACTAGAGAAAGCAAACAATTATTCAAAAACCTAAATGCAGTTAAATGCCCTGGGAAACACTGGGGAATGGGTTGAGGTTGAGTGTAGGTTCAGTTGCACTTGTTTTTGATATGTAATGCAACTATAAAGGAAGAGACCTCTGTCTGACCGTCTGTCTTTCTTTCGCATATCTCGTAAACCTTTCATCTGATTGACATCACACTTGGTGATTTGGTGATTATTTCAGCACTGTAGTCCAGTTTCTAGATTCCAGAGATCACACAGAAAGGATTGAGGCAGCAAAAAACAGAGACCAACAGACAGGGGAGAGTTTGAAACAGCAGGGTTGGAGCAGCAGACATAAGATGAAAGCCAAGACAAATATCAGGAAAAGAGGGATTCAAGTTGAGGCATGACTGGGGCGTTCCAACGTCACAAAGCGAAACTGCCAGTCATGCTCTCTGAAACTAGTTGGCAAACAATGGGTGTATCGTTGCAATCACACTGAACTTCCCACACAGCAGACACTGCCCTTCTTTTCTACCTCCTCCAAACGGTTGCTTTATTCCGCTCATTGAGTGAGGACTGGTTCAACCTGTTTGCCTGTTGACAGCTATGAGGTTATTTGCATTTAAGAGTGAGTGCCTTAATCTCTCTCTTCTTATTGGTTGCCACCTTCCCCATTCACACATTACACATCCTCCTCTGTGATTAGTTCAGTTGATGTTGGAATTGAGGGATTTAGAGTATTTGATGGTGCTGTGTTTTTCCTTGGCATTTTCCACAATGACCTGCACACCTCACTTACACGTCATTATTTGGCTGCAGTGCATTGTGGTCATCAGAGCAGGAACTGCAATAGGTTTCTCCCAAGTGAAACGTGTTTGCTGAACGAATCAAAGCTCACTCTGTCTGCGCTGGACATATCTCATACTGAGAAAAGCAAGAGAGCAGACGTACTACTTGCAGATCTTCATGCAGACCTGGCCGCTGTTTCTCATCTTTACACTTTCAGACACGCACCTCGCCCACGTGCCGTCAGGAGCAAATGCACATCTGTGCACCCATGGGAGTGTTAAAATGAGGTGTGGTCAGGTGTATTGTGATCTTGAGGAAGCAGAAAGCAATTGCGCCATTGAGCAACAAAAACCTGTTCTAATTACAATGGCTCATTACTCTCTTATTATATAAAAGGGAGCATTATTCAGATAGTAAGATAAGATGTGGGGGTGGGTGCAACCCTGTAGCGTCAACCTGATGGAAGCCGTTTCTATTCTGAATACAGGACACGGGAGGGGTCAGCTATAATTGTCCTAGCCTGTTTAACTAGTCTTCTCAAAGAGCATTTGGAGGGAGGGATGCTCCCTCACCCCCACTGTCATTTCTGTGTGGACCAGTTTGTTAATTTGCAAGATTCCATAACGCAATATATTGTCTATCACTCTATTGTTGGGATGGCGATGGATAAGTGAAGTGGATAAGACACATGCCTTTGGTATGAGAGACCTAGGTTCAGTTCTCACTGCGACACATCCACCATTGTGTCCCTGAGACACTTAACCCCTAGTTGCTCCAGAGGCGTGTGGCCTCTAACATATATAAAAGCATCAGCTAAATGAATAAATGGAATGGAATGTAAATCACAACATGTATCCAGAAGTACCAAGGATGTAATGTCATCAGAAAACTTGACGATGAAAGTGATGGCAGACTACAGTACATTATTTGTATCTAATTTAAACAGAATGAGAGAACTCACGCATCTGTATATTGATTAATGACTTTAGACTCAGATAATGTCTGGTTCACTCAGACCTGCTGGGTCCTGTTGGTCAAGACTGAGTGAGACCACCTGATGGTATAAGGATTAACAGACACCTGCCTGAGCTTATTGAGAAGGATGTGTGGCTGCAGAGCATTAAAAGCAGTCTGACATGGACCTTGCAAGTATATTATGATTAGTATTGCATCATGAGTGAACGTCTGTTTTTATAAGCTAACTGATAAGAAAACTAGCCACCCATTTATGTTTGACTTCAGGTTCCACACCATCAACTTTTCCAGATACGTCTGGGCTTCTCTAGTCATTATTTCCATTACATTTATATTTATTTATTTAGCCGACACTTTTATCCAAAGCGACTTACATTTCTCTCCTCCTATCACTTCCTGCAGGTTTTCTGGCTCTGGAGCTGTGGAGTCTGGATCTGTGGTTGCGGGTCACCTGCTGCCCCCGTGTTCCTGCTCGACACCCTCTACTGCAACGGATATTGTTACTAGTCCTGTTGTTATTATTGTTATTATAATCATTAACATTACGATTGTTATCATTACCCCTACTATAAATATCTGTACCATTTTTCATTTAGTCTATAGCAACATCACCTTTACTGTCTGTACCTCTGTGTGGATATTGTGTAGGCTGCCTCCCTCCTCTCTCTCTCTCTCTCTCCCTCACCCCCAACCGATCAAGGCAGATGGCCGCCCACCCTGAGTGAATTTGCTATTTATGTCAGAGGTCCCACCCCTCTGGAGCAGCTAAGGGTTAAGTGTCTTGCTGTTGCTCAGGGACACGTTGGTGGATGCGTCACAGTGGGGATTTGAACCTTGGTCTCTCACACCAAAGGCATGTGTCTTATCCAGTGTTCCATCACCAGGTCCTCCTTTCCTTGGTGAACAGGTTTTTTGGTGTAAGCTCCTTTGCACATCTTTAAAAGAGAAAGCTGGAACCTCATCAGGCTCTAAAGAGAAATCATGTGAATCAAACCTAATGTAGAAGTTGTTCAAATCATTTGCCATACTGTTGTGTGCAGTGGTTACCTGGTGGGAGTCATATTATTATAGATTTTATAGAGGACCAAAGTTTCTTCGTTTTATTTGCGCAGGGCGGCGGGTGTCCTCTCCAGTTACAAAGTGGCCCGTGTTTGACCCAATCTGCCTGACTGAACGTGCATTTTGTTGTTTAGTTGACCATTTTGAATAAAGTTTTTTGTGCGTCTTGAATGTGGCAACAAAGTAAAATCTGACTCAGACCACCACACAGCACCAGCGTGGACACTGTTGCCTATTTGTATTTATTCTACCCCCATGTAGATATTAATACCACCTTAACAAGGTCTCCGTCAACAGGTCTGGGTAGTTTCTCATTACAAGTACGTCTGTTTTCTACTTTGAATTTTGCAACATTAACTGAAATTAGCTGCCATCCAAGCTGTGTAACGCAGGAGAGCTTTAACCGGTATACTTGTGCCAGATAATGAGCTGGGAAGACAAACATTTTGAAAGTCAGGCAAACTTCTCAATTTAAGATTTGGTTGTTATACTAATGTAATTCAAATCTAGCAACTGCACACCATGCCACAGATGTCCATGTTGGAAAGCAGCCTGCATCTCCCTTTCACAAGCCAGCAGAAATACTTTAACGGCATACTTAACATGTATTATGTCTCTGCAATACAAATGTAGGCTACATACTGTAACATTTAAGTTATATGATCACTAGATTGATTCTGATATCTTAACAGAATCCTCTCGCTGTGCAGAGCAAGCCTTTCTGTAGATGGAAATTAGCCTATATTTCTGTTCTCTAATTTGCATTGGTTGCTCTTTGTTTTACTGTGATGCCCGATGGTGAATTCATTAAATAGAACGTCACCAGTAAAACTGATCTTGGCCTTCACTCAGCAGGCTACCAGCTGTTATTTATTCAGGAACAATCATTTTTTAGATGCTTGGGGAGAGAGTAAATATGGGATATATAAAACAGTCGCGACAATAATTCTTTAAGCCGTAAACATTATGTTCCTAGATGGTTCAGGAATAATCATATTGTACTGGGTGCCTGAGCTGTTAGAGAAGGCAAATCATATGCAGTGCGCTTCAAATCAAAGTGTTTTGGTTGGCTACATGTTCATATCAAGATAACAGATCCAGGCAACAATAGTGGGCTAGGCAGAAAGTGTGATATTTTAAAGTGATCTTATCGATACCTTTATGTATTAAAAATACGTAAAATAATTGTTTAAATAGAAATAGGTAAATTAGAGATAATCAACATGCGAAGCGAAGTGCATTCTCTAGAAAT